TTTGAAAATTTCTTGTATAACAGTGAAAACATCCATGGCGTGCAAAAGAACAATAAAGGATTATTTCGCGTAAGGGGGGGCTTAGCATATACAGATAGTACAGTCTGTCCGCAGATTCCGAGCTGAGCGTGCACACTGGCTGAAGCGACGGCCATTTTCGCACTACTTTCAGCAAAATCGAGTGAAAATGGACGACATTTGAGCTCTTCGTATTTTCATGTGTATTTTTGTCAGCAGTTGATGTGATTAAACGATTGATATATACTTCGCACTAAAATAGGGATTTCACAAAAAAGGAAGGTTGTACAAAATTTTTATTCTTTTTGGCTCAATTCCAGCATATGTAGTTGCATAAATCGTTATAATATCAATAAAGTAAGTTTGTCCATTTTTTCTACAATCATTTCATTTAAGGGTACAAAATTCCACGATCAGCTTGAGAAAAATGCGTGTGCTACTTTTAGACATCTGATACAAAATCATACAAGGCTTTCGTCGAAATTGAAATGTTCATTTTATATTGTGCGCTTACATCAAATTCTAAATTTTATTCCTTGAAAGTTTCAAGCGAAATAATGAGTTGTTTACAGAGCTTCATGGATTTACATAACAACTACGGATTTTTGAAAACATGGCGCGAAACACACGTTGCGGACTATTTTGTGCAAGCGCATAGGTGTTTTTTGTAATGATCACCGCTTATGCATTGATATGCCAGATCTGCGGACAGACTGGTAAAACAAATCGTACACGTGTCTTTCTTTATTGAGGTCAGATTTCACCTGTGCCGCCCAACTAATCAAAACAGAGTTTACAGACATCCAGAAGAGGCCTACGACGAAGCATGTGCCGCGTCTAAAGTGGCACGGGGCATTGACAGCGTCAGTATTTGGAGTGGATACCACATTGGTGCCAAAACACCAATGGTAGTCATCGACGAAAACCTGAACCAGATCAAATAAAGGAATAATCTGGGAACCACTTGACTATCATTTGATAGGGGGCACCTTAGGAACAATTTTAGGTTGTACGGTGAGATTGCCGGTTTACACAGAGCACTTTTAATAGCAGATAACTTACAGAACCAACTAGCAGCTACTCTGGTCATCAAAATCGCCACATTTGAACCGCATAGACCATATGTGGGTAAGCCATTACTCACCGAATCAACTGCCTACATGCCCTACATCAAAATAGGACCAAATTGGACAATTTTGGAGTGATGCCTGGAATAATATTCCAGATTGAACTCTAAAAACCTATCCCAAGGAATGCCTTGCCGATTGAGAGCGCTGGTAACAGACAGAAGAGACCAGGCGTAATAGCGACCGTAACTATGACTAGACATTGACATATGGGTCCTTTGTGGAGCGTGTAACTCTTTTACAGACGATAATTTGGAAAATATGGAGATCCAAAATATCTCTTTTAATGGATGTCGTATGACATAGAATAGGCAATGCATTTCTGTTTACTTCAGTGTCGAATTCAACCAATGAGCTGATGTCACCATGACATCAAAAAGATAATTTAAAGTTATTAAAACACGATTTAAATCCTTATTTTCATTTATCAGTCAGCAAAATAGGAAAAAACTGATGAAAAATGACTTGGAAAAAATATTCCACATTAAATGTCAAGTCTGTATACAGTATATATATATATAGTTCAGGGCGGTCAGCACGATTTTCTGCAGGCCTATTTTACAAAGTATAGTCCATTCTGATAATATTTTTGCTTTATTTCATTGGTACTACACGTTATTTGTTCAGATCTGTATCAATATGGACAGCATTAATAGAGTAGGCAAAATTATCATCACATTTATGTAGTTTGGAATAAGACAGATGATATAGGTATTGATAAAGTCGTCATCCTTTAGATCGATATTTATGCACATGTGCAAAATTATTCTAGAGGTTTGCTATATTTTAGACAATCCTGTTTATCCTGGCCGCCATAGTATCAAAATAAGTGTTTCTTTTCATTTTTTTGGTTTCACCAAAGCGTACTATAGAATTGTGTACTATAGCCTATGGCGTATTATAATATAGCGTGCATAAACAATAAAGGCTAAACTTTGATGCCAGACTGTGCTTTTATTGTTTCGGCTTAACGGCAGTAACAGTATTGGCTAAGATTCTATAGCGTAATAATTCTTTCAATCGAGCAGCACAATTTTCGAGCTTATTTCCTTCCTTTTCATCATTTCTCAACATTAAAGGAAAAAAGGGCGGTTTTTGTTAGCTCCCACGATAAATTAAATCTAATAATTGATCAACTACACATAACTAGATATATTTCAACAACATTGATAGTACAAGATATCACGCACGGAGACGTGACAAAATTTCAAACACTTTATTCTTTCTATGCCGAATTTGCCAATAAAGCATGATATAGAAATCGGACAATTCTATCAATTGCAATATACCCTGTAGTTCTGAGGCGAAAGTCTGTTCTGAAAAAGAAGAAATGGTATATATTAGCCTGATACATGTGTTGTGTAGATCGTGAGACAAAATGCGATTGAGAGGACAAAGAAACAAGGACGGCTGAATTCCTCTTCTAGTTACCCTAAGTCCGTCAGTGACATATAACTAACTGTACACTTACCAAATATACAGTATATAAGCGACCAACGCAATACTTTTAAACGCAATAATTTTAAAAAATCAGAATAAGCAGTTATACAATTTTCGCTTTAAATATATATTAAATCATGCAAAGCGAATTTTGTTGTTTAATCATGTGCTGCAGATTACTGTCCGTAGCCCATAAAATAAAACTTTGAATCACCTTTAAAATACGTGTATCTGTTGTGTGCTAAGTATACTATGATACTACTGTGGGAACTTGTCTCTTTTATTAGGATCTTACTTTTTTACCTGAAAGTTTTGCGCAGTTACCTTTCGTGGAAGACTTATGTATTTAACCAAGAAGATTCATATTGCAAACGGCGTTCCAGCTTCCCTTCATCAAGCCGCTAATTGCAGCCTTAGCGGTGCATTGAAGCTTTAGTCGAAGACCTGCAAAGCCCTAGGCCTGCATGTCGGCCAGATGTGTATTTTGCAGTCAAATGATATAGTCAATTTTAGGTATTTCATCGTGACCTCTAGGTTTGGGTGTAGAAAAAAAAAAAAAAAAAAAAAAAAAACAGTTGAAAGATTCAAATCAAATTCCGCCCCCCCCCCTAAAAAAAGTATGATGTTTATTGTCACTTGAAATTCTTGTGTCACTTGAAATCCTGAACTCCACTTCTTCTATTTTTTTTTCGTGGAGTGGTCCTTGGCGCCAACGCGGTGTCGGATATTAAAATATCAAACATAACTCACATATTAACTGACACCGTAGTAACTGACACCATAGAAACTGTATAAGAACAGCGGAGTAACCCTCCCTTACACCCCATTTCCATAGATTTTTAGATCGATCTATCCCTGTGGGGAGTCTCACTAGATTACTGTCAGCTTGGCCGGCTTGAGCGTCTGTCCCGCCTACTAAAAGCTGTAAGAGGGTAATTAACTATGGTGCGCGCTCGTCTGACTGCAATTTAGCGTGAACCCCCAGGGAGTTAGGTCGATCTAAATTTTAATCCCTGGATCGATCTAAATCTCTGGAAATACACCCCTATTCTACTAACCATAACGTTGTGACGAGGTGAGTTATATACGTGACCATGACCATGGCATTTAAGACCAATCTGACAATTACCTCTTTGTTGTTCAATGTACAGTGACACGCAAATACACAGTTTTTGATGATTGAGCAGAAAATATTTTGTTATTACATTGACACAATTAACTTAACTGGTGTTTTTACCGGGGCTGATGTTAAAATAACATCTAACGTGCATTGTAGAATAAAGAATGCCCTACAGCGCGACATAGGTCAAAACTGAAATAATGTTTTATATTTTATGGTGTAAATTGGGAGGGGTTTTATCTGTGCACTGAAGTTACCTTTACATGCTTTTGTTCGTTGATGTGTAACACGGGTGAACGACATACTGATATAATTCTGCGTGTGTTAAGTTTTAGTTATCGCCTGTGACTATTATGCTAGTAAATCGAGTCTTCGCGCGCACGGGAATTTATGCGTGTGCAAACGCATGTGCGTCGATGTGTGTGTCTTTCTATGTGTCTGTATGTGTGTGTGTGTGTGTGTGTGTGTGTGTGAGAGAGAGACAGAGAGAGGGAGAGAGACTTTGCTTCAACAAATCTCCACTTATGATGTAGAGAACATTAATAACTACCACAAATAAAGTAAGACTCATTTTAAACTAATTTTTTTTTTATTTTGAACGTGACAATAAGGCGTTTAATTTTTAAATTCCATGGGAACCGCTTTTCTGGTTGGGAAGGATTTGATCTGAAAAATATAAACAAAAATATATCCATTAAGCATTTTTTATTTCATAGAACGTGCCTTGACTGTAATGCATGTCATTTTAAACGAATTTACGATGAACGGATAATCAAATAAACTTTATGGGAGGAAATTAGGAGATTAAAGCTTTGCCTACAATAGATACAGTATACGAGCATGGACGAAATTTAGAAACTGAAAATGCATTTGACACGTTCACGTTTGATAACGTTCGGGTTTTTTTTCATGTACACATCATAACTTTATTCTCATCATATTTGTAGTGCGCTGCTTGAACAGAAAGCGAAGAGATGAAGGTTAAGTGAATATTGTATAATATTATACATCAATCTGAATTCCTCCGACTGTTTTAAAGTGAGTGTTCCTGTGGGCCGTATCTTACCATGTCGCGAATCACCACAGGTTTTTTTTATTGTCAAATTCTTTCTATTATGCCCAAGCAGACACTGAGTTTTTTTCTCCAGCAAACAAATTACGGAATTTATACCCATCAACAAAAATTCGTATATTAACCCAAAAAGAAATCTGCCTTGCGACTACCAGTAAAGACACTGTAAGCAATTTAGTAAAAATATTTATAACAAACAAAATTGACTTACCCAGCGGTGAGATTAGCCCCAATTAACAAGGTTGACGTCACAGACGGCCATTGAGTAGTACTTTCCTAGCTGGAGGAGGGTCCATGGAGTAGTACTTTTCTTGCTGATGGCAGATCCTGGGGCGCAGTTCTGGACCAGAGCACGACCGTTGGTACAGAAGACAAGAGAGGTGGCGGATCTTGCATACACGCCGTCAGGTCCGCAGCGACCTAAAATTCAAAGAGCAGGTGTCATTAATTCAACAATCACGTGGCAGTAACTATCCTCTACCAGGGTGAGTAATAGGTTTTTTTTGCAGATATTCACAGATATGTCTCTAGCTAGATAGTTAGTCATTTACAGCTGAACTGGGTTTAGCTGAAAATGACCATCTATCTAGCTAGAGACATACCTGTGAATATCTGTAAAAAATCTACCTGGTAGTAGAGGGTAACAGCATAAAGTATTTATAAAAAAACTGAATGTGCACTTCGCCACACACACACACACACACACACACACACTATTTCACAAGTAAATGGATCGTTTTAATTGGAAGACCTTGGTTTAGAGGGACGTTTAAAAAAGTAAGCTTTTTTTAAAAGTCAGATCTGAATTTGGGGCAGGTTTTAATTCTTTTGCACGATTCAAATGTTAACCTTACGTTGAGTAGTTCATCTCTATTATTTTTCCGCATTGATAAACTCCTCCAGAAAATCAATATTTATTTTATTGTGTGAGTGAATGAAAAAAAAAATGCAGTGGTTGGATAAATCTGAAAAGTAAGGAAACAAAGATCACACGATGGAGGGTAAAGAAACCTCATGGTTTCTGGTAAAATACAACCAAGAAAAAACCCTGCGGTTTGGTTTATGCAAAAAAAAAAAAAAAAAAAAAAAAAAAAAAAAAAAAAAAAAAAAAAAAAAAAAAG